AAAACTTTTCCCAGACAACTGCTATTCATAGAAAAAAAAAAAAAAAAACCAAAAGAAAACTGTTTCTTGTAAAAAAGTTTCCATAGCATTACAAAAAACCCCCTCCTCTCCCTACAAAAACTAATAAAAGACTATTGTATAGTTAGTACTAATTTAACATCCCAAGTTTTGTCTCTACATTATCAGCTAAGAAAAACAAAATTAAGCAGAAAGAAGAAAAGTGTTCTAGAAGTTTTATTCTAATACTTCTTATTCTTGTAATCCTATTAATAAAATTTCTTTATACCTTTTAAGTTTTAAACCTGTTTTACCCTTCTCCTGATCCATATCTCACAACAAGAAATAAATAAGTGCACTAGTAATTTTAGCCAACAGTAAACCCTCCACACTATTTAGTGCATTAACCAAAAAACTCAAATTAACAAATCTAAACCACTACACTTCAGCATCTGAAGCACCACCTGGCTGAAGCTGATGTGTCAGTGCTGCTTTGGAGCAGTATCTGCTAGTGACATGTGATGTTTGTGTGATCTGATAAGAAAGGTGTTACAAGAAAGGCAGGCTGCAAACTCTCCCCTGACATATCCTTGGAGTCACTGGTATGGTTAGTGTTGGATAGGAAGGAAGCATACCTGGAAAGACTGGTTGCCAAAATTTCTATGACTGTGTGATTCTTCCTTTTTGAAGACCATGGCAAGTGTTATTTCCAGGCTGTGTTCCCTCTGTGTATCAGAGGGAAGGCAAAACCATAGTGCCACTTCTTGAAAGCTGTCACCTCCCACTGCAGTATTTTATCTGTTCACAGTGTAGAACCTGCTTAAAAGCTGACTGCTGTGTAACCACTGCTGTGCAGGAAAGGGCTCTTTATGCCTGATTTAACCCTTCCATGTGAGGCACTACAGGTAGACACAGCTAAGTGCTGTGTTTGCTTCTTACATTGAAAAAATAAATGGGTCATAATTCCGGTTCCCTCTGACAATTGGCAGTTAGGCAATAGGCAATGTTTTGCAATATGAAATCAGTAGAATGACTTCAAGGGGTCTAGAACCTAGAGTAGGCAGCTGATGCCCATTCCATCTCCTTCTCATTTCCCTAGGAGACCAGGAATTGTTTCAAGTGAATTTCTTATGCTTGTGGGTATCAATTTGAGATTCATTAAATTAAAGGGAGCTTTGCTCTTGGGTTCCTCCTGTGTCATCCATACCACTTTCTTCTAAGTTGGATTCCATTCTTCCAAATGAACAGAGAATTTTGCACATTTTCTGGTGGGTTTTCCTGACATATGGGGTACTTCACCATAAAAAAGTGCTTGTGGTCATTTGGTATAAATTCATCATTATTTACTGGACTTTACAGATGAGTGCTACATTCTGTTGCTGCATGTTTGTTTGAATTATTTGCAATACCTTCCCACTTCTGGATAAAGCCTTTTTCACAGCTTCAAAACAGACATGATTGCAGTAGGCTGGCTGTTGGTAAGAGGGACAAAAAGGGCAAAAGAATGACATGCAGAAGCTCTGTTTAGTCAGTGGATGCAATTATTTTGCTGTGGAAATTTATGTAGCCACATTACAAACTGTAGTTTGTGGTGGCCTGGTGGCCTGATTCGGCCAGTGGGCCAGCCCTGACTGCGATCAACCTGGGGCCATGGAAGGCAACACGCTAAGTTTGGGGATATTGTTTAAATTAGGGTGAGTTCATTTGCTTGGATCATGGGAGTTACTATATTAATATGAGTTACATGGTCATTCATAATTGGTTAGAATGTTTCTAGAAAGTTCAAAGCTAGTGTATATAAATTGGGATCATCCTTTGTTTGGGGTCTTAGAGTGTGGCTGTGTTCGGGAATGCTCCACTGCTAATATTACAGGACCCTTGGATTTTCCAGCTAAGACCCATCACCTGCTCTTTTCTTCCACGCTGACCTGTTGCAATTGTGGCCTGTCCTTGTGGTGTGGGCTGCACGACGTGACAGTATTTATTCAGCTTAGTGTTGGATGCATATCTGTTCACATTGGAATTTGATAAAAATGACATTTTATGGCTCATCTGAAATATTATTATTATTGATAACAACAACAACAACAACAACAATAACAAATTATTGTGATGGGGTTCAAAAAGCTATGCCAAATTTCTGACCAAAAAATAGGAAGCTATGTTATGAATTTCCTGGAGAAATAAAGAATTTCATTTTTTCTTCAAATCATGAGCAAGTTCATTACCTTCATTCAGGGAAGAGATAAAATTCAAATCCATATTCACTTCTATAGCCGTCTCAAGGGCTTTGGAGTTAAGACATACAGTGCTTAGTCCACCATGTCTCAGTTGTTTTAATGCTCGTGGTCTCAAGAACATAAAGATGCTTTAGAAGCTTTGGCAGCCATTTTTGGCAGAAATTTAATAAGATTGAACTACTTGGTCATGATTGGACAAGTTCCAGTACTCAGATTCATTCCTACATGGGTTTTAGGACAATTTTTCATTGAATTAGAATTTTTACTCCATACTGTTAATAGGTGGGTGTGCAGAATCGCCTTGATATTTGTGTCATTCCAAATTTGGGCAGTTAAAGTGCAGGTTTTTTGTTTGTGTGTTTGATTGTTTCTTTTTCTCTCCAATCCACATGACATCAATGGTAACAGAATAGTAAGAACATCAAAACGGTTTTCATTATTTTGGGAGGTAGAAAGTGGATAAGGCAAAGAATAAATGTAAGAGCCTTGGCCATATGGATCTTGTAGTACCTTTGGGCTAGATGGTTTGACCACCTCAATAGAGAGGCTGCTAGAAACTCTTCAGTTCTTTATATGGTTTCACAGGATGAAAAACAACTCTCCCTTATCCAGGAGAGGAAGCTTCTTCCTCCCATCCAGGCTAGGGAAGTCTGTCTTTCCCTCTATGCTTTTAAGAAATTATCTGTCTTGTGTGTGCCTAAACTTATTGCTGAGGCATCCCACCAAATGAATGGCCACATATTCCTGTTCCTTGCAATACTTCATTTTTCCCACCTTTCCTGCCTCAAATCATGTCCCAGAAATTACCTCCACCCACCCACAGGGTTTTTAGCACCCAGACAAGGGGCATACTGATCCCCTGTGCCAAGGCTGATGGTGGTAGCTATTCACAGGTGCTGCCAGGTGGATCAATGTTCTCTCCTCCAGCGCTCCACCAAAGGCCATGCTAGGGAACATGTGTTAGCTGGGCAAGCCACTCGAGGGAGAGACCAGAAAGGGGAATAAGGAATGGTAGCTAAAGAGAAATGGGTGGGCAAAGCTGTTTTACAATGGAGCATTGCTCCCAAAGAAGCCTTTTGGGAGGCAGGTGAGAAATAGTGGTTAATGGTGTACCTGGCAGCAGCAGTGTGGAGAGTGAGGGGCTCAAGGTTGCCACTGAGAGGAAGATCATTGGGAAGACAGAAACACTTAAAAAACAAACCAGTGAGCTTTTGCAGAGGATACAGAAGGCTCAGAAGACAGCCAACAAGGGGAGAGAAAGTAAAGAAGCTAACTAATGAAAATATGCAAAAGAGAAGTTATATTGCTGGATAACTTGCAATGTAATTTGAAAGACCTGACGGATATCATGCAGCGGCAAATCTGAAGGTACAGAAGCTACTTGACTCACTATGCAGCACAAGAAGCATTTAATGGATTCACATGGGCTTGCAAGTATCAGGAATCTACATGCTGGTACCTGGGTGCATGGTGTAAGTTAGAGGTGGTGCAGCCCCCTCTAACAGCTGTGCTTCTCTTACTGCCTGGACAGTTTTGGGTGCCCTGATCTACACAGGATCTTTGGGGCTGCTTCCATTTCTAAGGAACCCATCTACTCCACAACACAAATCAAGCAATGGTACTTGGGGATGGGACTATTTTAAAAGGACAGGCCCAGCTTCAGACAAACACACCAATGTAAGTATTGGCAAAGGAAAGATCTTTTGTGTATTGGTATGTCACTATCTTGGAAGTTGTGTTTTAAATGCACATTCCACCAAGACTGGTTAATTTGTTCTGTGGGAAGATAGTAAAGAAGTAAACGAGCAGCTGGTGGGCTCCCCTGAGGTTCTAGTTATTCACCTTTGTATCATCTCTGATGCACACAAAAAGGCAGGAGAGGGGCGTCTGTAAGGGGTTGAGCAGAGTATTTTCTAAAAAATACCGAATTAAATTATTGGAATTTGATAGGCTAGAAGGAGATTATCTCTTGCATTTCAATTCTGTAGTTGAATAGGTGCAAAGATAGATGGCTTGTTACTTCACCACAGTGTATTTTGTAACCTTGTAATACAGGCTTTTTGGCTAATTTCTGATAGAGATAGAGTGGAGAGAGCAGGTTTATTGTCTTCTCAGTCCTTGCCTGCTGAAACTTGCATCCTCATTTCATACTTGTTATTAAAAAACAAAATAAATCAGAAAAAACCTGACTTGAACCTCAAGCTTCTGTTTCACTCATTTGCTTGAATACCAAAACAAGGCAGTTATCTCACCATGAAATAGAAAACCTAACTGAATAAGTCACAGATTTGTACAAATGTCAGCTGGAGGAATGCTTCATGTGTATTAATAAGGTTTAGAAGAGAAGATTTTAGGCAGTCTGAAAAACACACCCACGTAGTTCTGCATTGTAATTTATTGGCAGGACACCTTGTGAAAACCAGTTGTCACATTGACAAGGATCCTTATTGGCAGCATCTAATTATCTAACATACATTATTACTTATCATGTTTTTTTTTCCTTCTCCCCTGGTGAGCTAATGCTTATCAATTACAAGGAAGTGGGTGGAGTTAGGGCGGGACAAAGGGTAGAAATTACCTTACCATTGAGAGTATCGGTAGTGTCAGTCTTCAGTGAGCAACAGCCTTCTCCTAGAGACAGCTGTGGCTCTTAGAATGTGTAATTTTTATTTGCCTCTATCTCTTGAAGCTTGCTAGATTTTCCACTACAGATGAGCATATATTCTCAGAAAGGCAGCTGGTTGGCATTTTGGAGGAGCAAACATGGAAGAAAATAGAGAAGACCATGGCCTTGCAGAAGGCAAGATTTTGTCTATCTGGATGATTTTGTTTGTGGCATTAATTTTGTTGCCTTCGATGTTTCGAGTGTCACTGGGGATTTCTCATTTCTATGTGAAAATTGTAATTAAAATATTAGAGGTAAGTTGCGAAGTAGATTCAAAAGGTATGTGTCTGCTACAGGACATGTTTAATAAAAAAAATAAAAATGTGTACATTTGATAGAAATGCCATAAAAGTCAACAGAAAAAAATCCATTAACTTGCATGTGTTGTTTGCAGCTGTACTTTATGTGATAATCTTTTGAGGGGTGTCTTTAATGATATCTAGTTATGTGCTGGTTTATAATCTGCTACTGGTTTGAGGGTTTTTTGGGGTAAAAGTAGAGATTCCATGGTACTTTCTTCTAGTTCATACTTGTTAGAATGCTTTATGCAAGTAGAATACTCATGACAAGTCAAGTATAAAGAAAAAGATCTATTAGTTTGTGGAAGTTGGTAAGTAATAAAAACATGTGTTTTAGATGTATATCAGTTTCAGTGGTTTTACTTGGATTGTTTTAATAGCATGGAATTAATACTCCAGGTAAGAACATTGATTCTGTGTCTTTGCTTCACCCAGTTATAAATCTGGGGGATCTAGCAGTTAACTTCTGCTGTACAAGTCTTAAAGGAACATGTCTGCAACCTTCTAAAAATGTAATTTTTCTAGAGATAAACAGATCACGGCTAATATCCTGATCTGCTTCTATCATTAAAATGTTTCTGGGGCTTTTTATAAGCCAGAATCTGATTTAGTTTTTCAAGTTTGACTTTTGATATCCATTATTAGCCAGAAGTAGGTGCTGTGAATTCATCATATTGAACAGTGAGGCATTTCCATTTTCCAATAGATTAACTTTATGCTTCTGGCATAAACCTGCTTTCTGTGAATATACTTTCTACTTGTGACAGAAAACATGTTACTATTATTGTGGCTATTATTATTAAGTTGTTGGAGTAATTTGTTTTGCAGTAGAACACGTCTGTAGCAGTGTAATACAGTTAATATCATGACCATCTTACCTTGTCAATTCTGTCTTTTGTCTCATGTTCTCTTTAATTTGTTGTTGTTGGGGGTTTTTTGTTTGCTTGTTTGTGGGTTTGGGGAAGGTTGTTTATTTGTTTTAATACTGATCAAGAGCTCTTGGGCACTATCTCCTTACCGTTGTATGAACATCGTTTAGCACAGTGCACATTTAGCAGATTGCAAAATTTAGGGATTAGTTATTTTTTCAGATACTGATGTCAGTGGGCAATGGCTGTCTGTGGTGGCTGTATGTAATACTGGCCTTTATATGTGAAATATTTTTTAATCAGCCAGTGGTATGCTAATTAAATTCCTATTCATGCCCTAATTAAGAGCTACTATCTTATCAAACCTGTCTCTGGACAGCTTTGCTGCTGTAGTTTGTGAGCATCAAAAATAATTTCTGGGTTTTTTTTCCCTGTGCATTTCCCAACTTTAAGAGACCTTTGACCCACTCAGTGTGTGTTTTATGTAGGAAGGCACTTCTTTCATAAAGCACATTAAGCATTTTTCTCTCCACAGTTTTTGAAACAGGTTACGAGCATGATAATTCCATGCTCACAGTGTGGAGGATCAATATATTGAAAAATAAAAACGTTATGTGATCAGTTATAGCCTTTTGTGTCTAGCTCCCTGGTGCCACAGCGTCTAATAACAGGAACAGCACAACTCCATGCACTGCTGTTTAGGCTGGCTCATTTTGTTCTTTTGTCCAAAGCTGTTCCCTAATTGTCCTGTGGGCAAAAAAGGAGTTTCCTCTGTTTTCATCTTATAATTAATTCCAATGGTTTTCGTTGAAGTATTGTCAAATGCTTCTCATTGTGCCACAAGAGTATCTTGGGGTTGGTGGGAAATGGGAGGGAGAAAGGATGGGGAGGGGATGTTAGGTCCCCTTTGCTTGTGATGTGGCTCACTAGGCTCTTTGGAAGAAAGGGTAGGACTGGAAAATGCTAGGTTAAAGGAATTGCTGGGCCTATTCTTGGAGTCATGGGGCTTTTTCAGCAGAATACGGCCAAAACTGCAGCTTGGGATAAGTCAGTCTTAATGCAGGCTTGTTTGAGATATGAACAACCTGACACAGAAAGCCCAGAGAGGTGTTGACTGGTTTCTAGCTGTGGTGTTGTATTCCTGCGATACGGTTAATGGGATAATGCACGGAGACTATCTGTGGTTCCTGTTGTCTTCTGGAATGGTGAAACAGGATGCCTTCCCAGAGAGCTGAGCTGGAAATGCTGAAGATGCTTATTATCACATATTGGCACACTACTGACTATATTGCAGGATTATCACTGCTCTAGGAAGTGCCAAACAACTGGGTGATGCTTCAGCAAAAATCCAACCTTGAACACTATGGCTGGTCTCTCCATTGTGTTGTGTTTGACTTAGTCTGTTATGTAGACCAGCAAAATTAATAGAAAACTTCTCACCTAAGGAGTTTTTTTCTATGTTTCTTACAGCTGAGCAGAGGAAAAGCATGTTTTATTTTCCTCCATGTTTGACAACTTGAGAAAAATAGAAGAGTGGAGACTGAAATCAAGGACTCCAAAGTCAAAAAATATTTTTTAAAGTTTTGTTTTCAAAGAAAGTTTATCTTTAGATCTTACTTAATTTGCTGGGAACAAAAAAGGTGTTTTAGAATAAACCTCAAGTTTTCAGATCTATCACTAAGCAATGAATAATGGTGGCATATGATAAATTACTTTGATTTCTTGACTTCACTGAAGTATTTTAGCACTGTGAATGGTGATTAGAATAAATGGGAAAGATGTAATCATGTATGGAAATATTTTTTGCCCTCTGCTGCTTTTCTATCAAGGAATATAGATACTTGTTATTTTAGAAAGAAAATGAATCATTTTATAAAAGCAAGATTCTAGATTTGAAAATTTGGGGTGACTGTTTTTGTTTGCAGGTGCTTTTTGTGGTTGGTTTTTTGTTTGGTTTTCTGGTTTTTTTTGGTTTTTTTTGAGGACATATGGATAATAAAATAGCAAAAGACCTCCAATAGAGAAAAGTCTCAATTGCATATCTGCTAGCCTATAATTATTATTATTACCCTTAATTTATCCTTCAAATATTTCTGGAAATTATAAAGGTGAATGTGGTTTGCGTTTTGCTTGGCTTATTTTTTCACTTTTACGCATGATAACTTTTATTTGTAAATAATGTCTTTTCTCTGAGCTTTTTCCATCCTGGGGTTTGTTGGAGATGAGAATATTAGCAAATCTGTGCCAGGGATGTTACTCCAGCAATTGCAAAAGAAGATGCATTTGCTAGGGTGAAATCTATGCCGTGCTCTCAGAGCCCTATGAAGAGTCAAAGAAACACATTAAACAGCTGCAGCTCCATTTGCCAAGAAATATTCTTGGAGTTTTACCAGATCTGAACTTCTGTATTAAATTGGAGCATTGTTGCTTCTTGAGAAAAAGAAATCAGCCAGCTAAAAATTGTGAGTAGTTTTTGCATTGAGAGCACACTTGCACACTCAGGTAGTTTATATGCTGTAAACTCCTACTGGAGTATGGCAGATGTCAGACACTTCAGCTGGTGAAAAACTGCACTGGTGTGCTTCTAAGTACATGGTTATCCTTAGCTGGCCTCTCCATCAAAACTCAAGTAAATTATACCTGTGCTTTTATCCCAAAGAAACCATTCTCAACCCATTTCATAAGTACTCATGGAGCAGCTGGGAGATTTGTGAGTCCTTTTCACAGTCTGAGGGTGGACAATGACATCCTCTCAGACACTGAGTGTAACACACCATTTCATCTGGGTTCAAGTTTGTGATGGGCAAGGGGAAATGAGGCCAGGCAGAAACCACTGTTGGATGAAGAGGTCATGAGTGCTTGATCTCAGATGGTGATTTTATTTTGTGCTAAAAACCTACCAACCTTCTCTTCACCACCATAATGGAAGACTTTACATAGAAGAATTGCCCCAAAGCCTTTGTCACACATGAGGAAAAGATTGCAAAAAGTTCATGTAATGAGTAATTAGAAAAACCTTTTATGAGAATATGGGAGAAGAGGTATTAAAATACGGGGAGAGAGGCAAAACTGAATTATTACATAGTATGGAAAAATGGAGTATTGAGCTGTACTTGAGAGGGAAAAGGGAGGAAAAATCCTGCAAGAAACGAATTTTCAGAAAATGAACATTCCACGTTTTGTTTCATGTCATGTCCTGTGAAGACAGTAATTAACATAATGAAATATTGGGCACCCTCATTTTGTTTAGAATGTAATTACAGGAAGCTCAAACAAATGGGCTGTTGGAATTAAGCTGTCAAGTATTCAGTATTCCAGGTGGGATCAACTGTGTGGTGTTCGGACTCCTTGTGTCCTCATCACTTCAGAAATGAGAGTGAGGAAAACACAACCCTGAGCTCTCATTCAGTCAGCAAACGTAGGAATGAAGTTGCTACATTTAATACTTAAATTCTGTGTTGCAACATCTGTGGTTTTTTTGTAAGGTATTTAAAACATCCTTTCATTACTGTTTTGCAATGAAGACCAGCGTGACAGTTCTGTCTCAATACTGTGCAATACAAAGGTGATCACAAAGCCTTATTTCATTTTTGAAAACAGATTATACATACAGATGCTACCAAATGCAGAACAACTCAGTAGCCACCCCAGAGTTAATTAGTCTAGAGTTTGACCCAGACAGATGGCTTTGACAGGTGTCAATTCCATGGTTTGACTGAAAGCCCAAGACCTGCGTGACAGTACAGCTGTATTCCCACCTCACTGCTTGTGCTTCAGCCTCCCGTGCCAAGCCATGAGTTAGGGGAATTTTGTGTCCTGTGATGGTTTGTGGAAATATATTGCCTTTTTTCTTGCTCACACACTCTGCCCAAAGCTTTCTCATGGTAAAACTCAATTCTTGTAGTAGAAGAGAAAACTGATAACTGTTCCCTAAGCACCTGCTCTGTGCCAGTCCAAACTTTGTAGATGCCTGTTTTAATCCATCTCAGCCAGCTCTTTTCCAAGCTAATGAGCCCTGTTCAGCCTTTGAAAGCTCTTCCTCATCTTTCTTAGACACTGCTTTTGTAGCCTTGAATATTTAGTTAAAGTCTGCCACTTTTGCCCCACTCTTTCTCTGTGCTAGGAGGCACTATTTTATAATTTACTAGTAAGCTCTATACATTTTTGGGCTTTGACTTGTCTTGCTCATTTAGATTAGTTAATGTGTATTTTTGGAGTTAGCTTGATCAGTGATTGTCATCCTTTTTCTATGTGGGAATCAAAAGCCAGCCTCCTGGAGGTATTCCAGATCCTTCAGGACAGTATGAGCAAGCTCATTTCTGGCAGTGCTGGCCAGTTGGCAGGTGCTTTTTTATGTAGGAGGACAATGATAGGCAAGATAAGGATGGCAGACAGGAGACAGGAAAGCAGAGACTAAGGCAGAAGGCTTTATTTGTCAGTCTCAAATATTTTATATTTTATACTTTATGCTTTTTCCTCCCTTGTGCTATGCAACTATCCTAAAGGATGTTGGGGAAGGGATGAGGACCAGCAGTATTTTTTAAAGAGGTTAAATTTTCCATGTCTGCCTTTACTCTCTTTTGCAACGTTCCTGTACCTGTTCTGTATGTTCTTTCATTTCTCAGTGTGTGGGCTGCTGTTTTCATGACATCCCCTGGCTCCACCATTCTGAATGACTCTCCATGTGTTGTGAAAGATTGTGAGAGATGATGTACCTGTTGACCTTTTCAGGAGAATAATTGGGAAGTATAGACAAGATGACGGTCTGTGGTGTGGGTTTTTTAATTTATTTTTTGGGGGGGTTGTTTACTTTATGGTGTTATTAAAGATGGTTTGTATGGAGTTTAAAATACCACATCAAAGCCTATTCTGCCTTCAATTTTTTCTTTTATTTTATGATGGCTGGTAAAAAGAAAGGGTCAGCTAAAGGTTACTAAAATATCCTAATTATGTCAAGGCAAAGTGTAAATTTTGTTACTGAGTTAACTTTAATAGCTACAGAAAGAGCTGGTAGAAAGCATGCAAGACTTAAGGGTGGCACAAAGCTGGCTAGTGTTTGCACATGAGACTTGTTATAATGTAGTAGGAACTATTTGAGATCAGCTTTGTGGTGGCTTGTGTAGCTGCACATGTCAGCTAGAGGGAAATAGGGTGTTTAGCAAGAGTTTATATGAAGCAGATGGATTATCATTATCTCTTGTAGATGGGAACCTTTAATATCAGGTGAAGGCATAAACTGAGTGGGTCACTGAGTCTTTAATAATGAGAAGAGCCTATGCTCAAGCATCCTGTGCCCTTTGTTAGGCCACCTGCCTAACAGGTGGACATAAATACAGCCCAATTTCAGTACTTATGAAAGCTACTATTTATATGTCTATGTATGTACGATGAAAACATTCAAAACTAGGAAAAAAAAAATCAGGCACACTTTTTTATTTAATTTTGCTAATTGAGACTTTTATGATGCCCTACACATGGAGAAGAAACGGTTTAGCTCAAAAATATGAATACAGGGAAGGGTGAAAGCTCATTACCAAAGCTGCTACCTTCTGAAATACTATTGATACAAAATGTTGCCAGCTCTGTTTTCTGTCAACAGAGACCACTTGAATGCCCTCAAAATCAGGTAATCTCTTTTGTTCTTTAAGGTTCATTTTTTTAGATCTGTTTTTCTGGCATGTCTCTAATGTCAGTGGTATTACTTTGTATAATCCTATCGCCTAAAGCTAACTGGAGAGGAGAGAGTTTTGGACACATTGGATCTATGGTCTCATAGGTAGCTCAGTAATTTGTTGGACCCCAGAAAAAACCGACTGCCTGTGTCGTGAAAAGAAGTTTGAGCCAAATAATTTTTCCTGGAAATGGCAAAAGGTTGTCTATGTAACAAATTAAACAGGAGGCATGCAGGGCACCCTTCAGGCTGAATTTGAAAAATGAAAATCTGAGACCTGGCAGGGGTAAAAGAGGCTCAGACAATTCACCTGAGGTAATTGCAGAATGTCTGGAAATGATGAAATGAAAACCATCAACATCTACTTTTCTTGTTTTGGGAACAGTGGGCCACCCTGCAGATTGAGGAGGGAGTAAAAAAGCAGAAGGCGATGGCACTTGAAAATTTAATCTCCACTGGTAAGATCTCTGGATGAAGGGGACACAGCACTATTAATTTTGTAAAAAGACAACTATTTATCTTACTTACTTGGAAAGGAGTTTGATGAGCAAATATCCATTGAAGTTACAAACCTACATAAACATGTTATAAAAAAGATAATCTCTGATTGAGTTTCGTGAATAAAAGGAATTAGAGACTAGTGTGGGTATAGAAAGATGTTGCTGATAAACATTTGGGAAACATCCCTGTTTTCATAAGTTTTTTGCTTTCTGGCTTCATCAGCTCTCTCTTTACAGGATTAGGAGGAACGAGTGTTCTTTGTGCTTGACATGGCTCTGCATGGTTATCTTTTGCTTCTTGTAACTCCTAGAATGCAAAAAATCCAGGGTCTCTCAAGTAAAAGAGTTACAGCATCCTTTTCTAGATATGATGATAAAATCCAAATAATTTTTTTCCCTAACTATTTTTCCTTTCTTTGACCACATGGGAGTGGGTTAAGTTCTCATAGTTATCCTTTTACTTGTAGTGCCATTAGTCATTAGTCGTGTAGGCTCTTTATTTGTCAGCTAATAATTTTCTGGCCTGATGATTTCCTGAAAGTTGAAGGTTTTACTAAAGTACAGATGGGGGAAAGTTTTGTGATTCTGATGAGGGGGGAGGTAGGTTGGTTGATCAAGATAAATTGTCTTTTTACAATGCATATTTAATGTCATCCAATATACACACTCAAAAAAAAAAAAAAAAAAAAAAAAGCCAAGTGTTAGCTGGTATGAACCAAGAAAACTTCAATTACTGTAACTAGCCAGATAAGAATTTGGTCTCAGAGTGACCTGAGCTCAGCTATCAGACTTGCTGTGTGGCTGTCCTATGGGGTATGATTTTGCAAATAGCAAAGCAAGAATGTGTTGTCATTCTTCCTGCACAATGTGTCTGTGTAATGCTTTGTATGTCTGGGGTGGTGGAAATCCAGGCACTTTCAAGTTTCTTGGTAGTGAAGTGATTCTTAATGAAGAAGGGATGGGGGAAGGTATAAGGTTCCAAGAAAGAAAATACAGAGGAAGGTGTTTTTTACAGCTGGGAGACAATAAAGCTAATCAACAGTAGCAAGAACAACAATCATACAAACTGCCTGAATTTGAGTCAGGGCACCAGGAGGGATCTGTCATCTTGGCAGTGTATAGGTGACATTTCTAGCTGTGAGTGCCTATATTATTTGGTAAACTACAGTGAAGCAGGTGTTGTGCTCAAGGTTTTATTTGCAGCTTGATCGGAATCCTTTTCTCCTTCCTCAGCAACTTAGGGGCATTATATGGCATAGGATTAGAGAAGCAACTTGTGGAATGAACTATCAGTACATGAATGAGGCATAGCAATGCCATTATGGTGCTTGAGTAGAAGAGCTGTTTCTAAAAAGCACATGTATTTGACATATATATGACTCTCTTTGGAATCCATATTGTTCATTTCACCATGTGGAAGGAAGGCTCATTTCCTCATGATCATGCAGGGATCATCCAGAGAGATGAGACCCCCATGGAAGAGGAGATTGTTGGCCGGTACCAAGGATGTTTCAGCCTTGCTGATATCATGTACTTCTCCAAGAAGGGCTGCGAGGCAGTTGCAGAAGATGAAGTCACTCCACGGTTCTGCTCCGAGGAGCTGCTGTCCTGGAATCTCCTCAGCAGAACCAATGCCAACTTGCACCATGTCAGTTGGAAACTGGCTGCTGTGTGGGTCACTGGCATCATAATTCGGTATTGCCTCCTGCTGCCTTTCCGGTGAGCCAGACAGAGTTTGCCGGGATCGTTTTTCATGGTACATTTTACAGAAGCTGGGAAATAATATACTATTGGCTAGTGGAGGAAGGAGGTTTGTGTGCTAGTTAGTGAGTGGTTTGTTGCTAGTTAGATGTTATTAATGCTGCAAAGAAGCATTGTGTAGTGGATCAAAGGGCCAAATAAGATTACCTTCTTGCATACTCCTCCAGTTTTGCTTCTTGGTGTTAATTAAGATTATTTTACTTTGTAGCATCTGCTTGTCTGTTTTCAGTGTCCTGTTGCTGGTGTTGGCCACTACAGTAGTAGGACAGTTCCCAAATGGCAGGTAGGTGTGTGCTGAGGGCTTTTTCAATTTCTTCTGTGTTTCTTTAAGGATTTGAACTGGTAGTTGGAACACTCTGCTGGAGTCCAGAGGATTGATGTGGACTATCATGGGGTGACTTTTTCTCTCCTGTAAAATTAGAGCGTTGTGAGAGAGAGTTAATGGCAATGGCACCTGAAAGCAGACATGCAGTGTGAGCCTTAGTATGGTCTTTGTAGTAACAGCAATTGGGGATAACTCAGGGAGTTTACATTGCATGTGTGACTCCATAAAACTGGAAATGTATCTATGGCTTCATTTCTTTCAGAGTTAAAGGCTGGCTGAGCAACCAGGTCCAGATGATATGTGCCACCTTAGGTGTCCGATGTCTGAGTGGCCTCGTTCATTTCCACAACAGGTGAGTGCTGCCATGTTGCCCTTGTTAGTCTGGAATTTGTTATTTGTAGTATTTAACATCTCAAGTTTTGGAGCAGGATTCTTATTCCATTACTGCCTGGTACAACTTGATCCAAAAAGCTGTTTGGATCATCCAGACTCTGTCAGGATGTTCACATGCTCTACAGTGTTTCCTGTTGTGTACTGGCAGGGTGTGTGTAGATGATGTAGTACCGTCTTTAGACACTTAGATATTTTTTGGCGCTTGTCACCTGATTGGGTCTGTAGTCTGGAGAATAAACATTAACTAATTATTTTTACTGTTGTCATTGCAGGGAAAACAAACCACAGGAAGGAGGCATCTGTGTTGCCAACCACACATCTCCACTAGATGTTCTAATCCTGGCCAGTGATGGATGCTATTCCTTGGTATGAACAAAACAGTTGGTGAATATCAGTAATGTTGAGATATCCATAGATTTAGTATTGGGTAAGAGGATAAACTTCCCGGTAGAAAGACTGGGATTTGACAGCATTCAAACTTGCATTCTAGACTGCAAAAAAACAGATGCAGGCAGATATGTGGACATTTATGACCAAGGGGATTGCTATAATATGTCAATAAGCTTAGAAATGCTTTAATCTGTTTAGAATTTAATCATTTAAGTGTGTGTGTTTGCTTTGTAACAAGTTTCTTTTGGGCTTGTAGGTTGGCCAGGTACATGGAGGGTTTATGGGACTTATTCAAAAATCCTGCATGCAAACCTCTCAGCATGTCTTGTTTGAACGCTCAGAAATGAAAGACCGTCACCTGGTGAGGAAAAAGTAAGATAATGAGGTGTTTGCTTCATTGTCTGGTCAGGTGTGGTAATTTGTCATCAGTGTTGTCATTTTTTTGTCATCAGTTGCCTTTTTTTTTCTTTTTTGTGATGTATGGTGTTTTGATTTTGTTCTTTAATGCAGGCTGAAGAGGAGCTCCATGCTCTTGAGTTATAGGAAAGATAGTTGTCTTGGAAAATGACAGATTTTAGTGTCAGTAATCTGCTTAGTGGTGATATTTGTGGTCTTAAGTGATGCACAGCAAATGTAGTAAGATACTTAATGTGGAGAATCATTAGATACATTTAAAACTGATGTTGTGAACCTAGAAAGCATGAAAACTAGAAATTTGGAATATATTTCAGTCTAAATAAGTTTGACTGCATTAATAATTGGAATCTGTGAAGTTATTTTCACACGCTTCAAGTACCACCATTCTCTGGTTAAAATGATAAGATGGAACTTCATACAGCTTTGTAGAAAATCTACTTTTTTAACTAGCAAGAGATACTGAGATAAAGGCCTGAAACCAGAACATATTCCAGCTGAGGCAACTGACTGGGCAAAGGGCAATTGGCACTAGGGATTTTCTTATCCTGTGTAAGAGGTAATGGATGTTTAGATTCTTGGACAAACATAAATATGAAGTATGCACTGGAATTTTATTTTCTCTCCACAGAATTAGAGAACACATTGCAGATAAGGCCAAGTTACCCATTTTAATTTTCCCAGAAGGTAGGAAGCAACTTATTGATTTTATTGCTCTTCTCACTTCTTGCCATTGAGTGCAGTTTATTATACCTAGTCTTTATAAGTGAGATATTTGTTTTTAGTTTGTAGAATTAATTAGTTCTTGTGAGATATTAAAAGTCAGGTTCTAGTATTTTACAACAGTTTCATGGCAGTTTATTTGCTTTAGCATATAACGTAATGAAGACATACAAGGCTCTGGGATTATACTCCAGAAGTAAAGCTTACTTTCTCCTTTAACAGCTAAGTCTTCTTAAGACAGTTTAAGATTCATTTCCTGATACTTTTCTCAGAGTGGATTAAGCCCTTCATCTATTTTAATTCTGACCAGGCACCTGCATTAACAACACATCAGTAATGATGTTTAAGAAGGGAAGCTTTGAGGTAGGAGGAACCATCCATCCAGTAGCAATCAAGGTACTGTAACTGCAGTTTTCCAAACATGGAAGGATTGTTTGCAAATGCTTCTCAGGTCAGAGAAGCTGTTCATGTGTAAGCCCTGAAAAGAGATATGTTTGGTGTGCATAAAGTACTGAATAAGTCTTGAGAGACAGAAACTTCTTGTGGTTTTAAGCAGTATGGGAAACATGTCATTTCTATCCTGGCTCTTTGTATGCTCTGAGGATAAAGGCAGTTTTCTTGGCACTTTCAAGTCTCTCTGAGTAGCTTTAGCCAGGTCACTCTACATCTGAAAATATTAGTTACTTTTTATGGAACTATAATGTTGCCTGATCTTATGGAAGTTGTTAAAACTGGTGCGAGCATTGTCAAGGAAATCTTTGTAGTCAGCATATCTGCAGATGACAAGTTTTTATGTTTTGAATAAATCTTTTGCTATAGTTGTGTTTCAACAGGTCTGTCACAGTTTGGGTTCATGCATTGTAAAGGTTAGCTGTTAGAAACTTGTAAAAAATGTTGGAGCTTTACTCTGAATTTGCTGATGCTTTCAGGAGGTGTGATTAGATTTTCCCCATATTTAATAAGTTGCATTGTGACTTTGTGGCAAAAAAAAAAAAAAAAAGCAGTTTATGTGATTTAAACCAAGGGAGCTTATTTTTCTTTTCTTCCAGTATGACCCTCGCTTTGGAGATGCCTTCTGGAACAGCACAAAGCATTCCGTGATGACCTATGCTTTTAATGTGTTAACCAGCTGGGCTATTGTCTGCAATGTGTGGTACCTGCCACCGATGGTCAAAGAGGTTCTTATGCTTTTGTATGTTTTGAAAGTGCTTGTGAAATGTTGTCTGGAAGGAGGTCTGCATTACTACACAAGGTGTTCTGAATCTTTATTGATAACTTAATGGACAAAGGCCAGGAAGCAACACTGAAGTCTTAATTTTAAGTGAGCATGGATTAATATGGGATGCATCCTCTGGTCTGTCTAGACCTGGGACCTCAGGCTGTGTTATTTGAGGGGTGCCAGAAACCAGAGAGCCTCCCATGTAGTTCTTTTTGGCACCAAATAATGGCAAACCAGAATCAGCTGGAACTCCCCTGCAGCTCACATTTGGCTTGTGGGTCTGTCATAAACCCCAGTGCCTGCTGTGTGACAAAAGCTGTCTCTTTAAAGGAGGCACAGAGATAATGTCTATGTCGTAAAGCACTTAATTCATATATTTTTTCAGGAAGAAGAAGATGCTGTTCACTTTGCTGACAGAGTGAAGGCTGTCATTGCTGCTCAGGCAGGAATGTCTGTGCTTCCTTGGTAAGAAGCAACACCTCTGGAATTGTTTTCAAAGGTGTTCTGTATTCTGAAACATTAGCATGGAATCCTTTAAAATTTGTTTTATTTGCACTGTCGTCCATCTCTGATTCAGAAAACATTACTTTATTACTTGAACAATTACATCAGAATAATATAGTGATAGAAACAAAGCTGACAGGTGGATCTAGACAGCAAGCAGTATTAGGTGAAAATTGATTACTTGCCTGTTAAAAGCTGGGGTTAAAAGGAGGGCATTGTGGTGTAGTAAGTCTTGGCAGTATAAATCACTTAGAGAATATTAAGAGTGGAAATTTCTTTGACTACATAGTCTAAATATAGTAATGTTTTCCTGCCTTGACCCTGAAGTGAGTTTAAGGCTGTTTCTTTTCTATATCTTTCAGGGATGGGGGACTGAAAAGGAAAAAGGTCAAAGAGTCTTTCAAGGAAGAGCAACAGAAAAAATATTGCCAGATAGTAATACAAAATGTATCTGTGGAAAACAGAAATATTTGTTAAATGCTATTTATTTTATCTCATTTTTCCATGACTTATCTCTACCAGAGAATAGACTGTTTTTATATTAAACCCAACATGTTTTCCTTCTGTCCCTGTAAGATATTTTGCATGTGACACTGCAGGAAAACCATAAAGAGATATCCTTATTTAAAGAAAAGTACTAGAATTTTATAAATAGGGAAATAAAATATGCTAATAAAATTCCCTGTGATGCTGAGAAGACTCTATAGTAAAATTAATTATGTTCATTAAAATACCACTTTAAAATATTTGTAATACCTTGAGGTTTTAAATGGTTACTTATAGTAAATCACCTCTGTACTGCTAGACTCTCTCAGGGACTTAGACTAGCAATATTCATGTGAGCCACAGTAACCATGTTGCTCTAGAGGTAGATCTCCTGATGTCAGAAGACGTGAAGCATTTCACCAAAATATGTATTCTGAACTGCATGTTGGAGAGGAAGTGTTGGATGTCAGAGAGAAAAAGCAGATGAAGATTTTCTCCTTCATGTCACAAGACCAGGAATGGCATTGTAGAAAATTTTCGGTTGTGACAAAGACCAGAACAGTGTCTAGGGCAGCATGTCCCTGATGCCTGGGTGTGCGAAGCTGAGACAAATTAATCACAGCCAAGAACAATGTCATAGAAAATATGATGTGTTTTTAAATCTTATCTTGTGGTTTTGTTAGATCCCCTTCTGAGTCTTTTTGTATGCACTACACAAACTAAAGAAAACCCATGATGTGACATCCACTGTCCTCTGTTGCTGTTATTTCTGGATATCCACTTGCTTGTGTTACCACTGGATGTGAAGGCTGAGGATTTGGCCTCTGAAAGCTCATCCTCCAGGAACAGAGCAAGTGTACTTAAGGAGCATGCAATGGGAATATTTCTGTCTCCTGCAGTATTTATTGGTATAAAATATTTGCTCTCCTGGTAAGTAGCTCCCATATGGAAGGGTCAGGCTTCTTTAACAATCTGAATGTCCCTAATGAAACACACACAAATAGATGCTGCTTTGACCAAGGTGCTCTTAAGACAGCCCTTGGTAAGAACAGTTAATAATGTTTACATGATAGCAGCTAGTTGGCTGACTGTTGGCTCAGAAAAGACAGAGGATCAGTCTTGGTGAGCACAAATACATCCTACAGAGGGACAGATGCACAGATACAACTCTGTCCAGCCCTGGACAGTCTAGAAAAACAGTATCCAGTGGAGGGGCTAACAGAAGTGATAGCTGCCCTGAGGCTGCATGGCACAGAGGTAGCATGGAACTGAACTCTCCTCTTCTGTGGCCAGGCCTGGCATTGCTACAGGAATGTGAATTTCTTTGGTGAATCAGTGAGACTAAGTGTTGGTGTCATGGGTAAGCAATAGGAGAATCTGCCATTTTGCACAGCTTTTACCCACCCAGGCTAAAAGGAAAGCCACCAGGTAGTAAAGGAAAATTGCCTCAGACTCTCCTGCTATGGAACTGGTCTGCTTGTTCACAACTACAGTAAGATGTGCTTCCATGACTGTTTAAGCTGATGATTTATTTTCTAGGTATAAAAATGTGAAGAAATGTGATTGAAAACCCTGATAACTCTCAAATATTTTCAGTGTGACAGAGTTTAAAACTGGGAGATTTTCTTTCTGTGTGACTGATTTCTGAGAGCTGCTAATAGAGACTGCAGTAAGACAAGTGTTGAGAGCATTCTTCCCACACTAGTGTGTGCTTTCTTCCTTTTCAGAGGTAAAATGGGAGACTGAATAGGCAAAAAGAGGGGCCAGACACAGGAAAATACGGGGAGATACAAAACAACTGCTGGAAGAGAAATTTTCTGCTTCTGTAAGAAATTAGGAGAATGATGTGCCTTTTTTTTCTATTCTGCAAGACTTCTCCAGCTCATCAAGAGGAGCCTTGGAATGTCTGATTCTCATTATGGTTATGACTCCAAGTTGTGTAAAAGCAAAGCTCAGACCTCTGAATATATGAGTATTCCATGTCATCTATGAGAGGGTGGAGGGATTGTCAGTATTTTCTCAGACACCTTTTGGGTGTCTTAGCAAAACAAGTTGAAAACTCAGTGAAGTGGGTACTTACATATAGAATGGGGAAATATAAAGCAAGTGATGAACCCACAAACCAAACTTGTCAATTACAAGTGGAATGTGCTTTGTTAGCTGCATTGGTAAAAATGCCAGTCTGACTTGAAATACACACTACTTTGTCCTGCCCTGCTTTAGAGAAGTGTTTCTGATTTTGGGTGTTATTTTCTCTACCTTACACCTCCTCCTTTCTTTCCTCTTGAAATGCAAACGAAATACAGAACATATGAGCAGAGGCATTGGCAATTGCTTTTACCTGAAATTGTATACTGTCGTTAGACTGCCAAGGTTATGGAGGAATTGATTATTATACAAAAAGTCTCCACAGATAAGTGTGTTTTCCTCCTCCATCAGGAGAGCATGGTAAAAAATATGTTCTTATGACAAAAACATGAGTGGGAAGCTGACAAACAGCTTATTTTTCACAATTAAGGATCTTGCACTTATGTTACACCTCCTCTTTACTTATCTTTCGCTGGTCTTCTAGGAACCAAGCTTCTAAACTATTAGAGCTCTTTTTTTTTACCATGTACCTTTGCAGGATCAAATGCAGCATGGTCTCATGCTCATTTGTGAAAAATGATAGGCTAAAATGGAAGCAAGTGGAGTATTTGAGTACATCAGGCAATTAATGCCCAAAACAAAGTCAATCAAGGAAAAAAACCCAAAAAACCCCCAAATCCTGTCAGTGTAAGTAGTTTTTGCTTGTTTTATTTTTAAAATTTATTTATTATCTAATTGCTGTGCAAACAACGTAGACAAGATGTATCATCATCTTGGACAAGACTGTGAACGCTGTCTTCCTTCAGAGCACGGATTTCCTCTATTGTTTACCATTTAATGTGTTTGTACTTAACCAAGGAGCCTTGTTCTTTTTTTTAACTAACTGGATGACCTAATCTCCAAATTAAATATGATACAGCTAATAAATGCAGGGAAGACCTACATTCTAGGAAGTCTTGCTTTGTAATTTGGTGATGCTAGCTGGCACATATGTATGAAGCATTGAGGGATGCTAACTGTTGCTGCGGCACTAATGCATCAGGAAACTGAAACAAACCACCCAGTGGTCCAGGGTGCATTCATCCCGAACTTGAGCTGCTTAAGAAAATGAGTCACGAGTTGAAAATAAATGTAGGTTGGAATGAACGAATAAAATAACTCTCTCTCCCTATGTGGGTGGGGCAGAGAATGAAAATAGCTGCTGCATCTATTTCTTGAAGATATCACTGTTTTAACAGCTGTGTGGATGGAAAAACAGATAAATTTTAAAAAGTCCTCCTTTAGGTCCATAATGAAATTCAGGCAGTTTGGTCATCTTTATAATAATATTTCCCTGTAATATACCTGCAATACTATTTAGTGTGGCTCAAGTGCTTTATTCCCTTGGCTCCGAATGTATTTTCTACTGCTGTTTTACATTTGGGAACGTCTAAATGCTCATCTCCGACTTTTCCCGGCTGGCTGTTCAAGGTGCATCGCTGAGCATTAGAAGAGATGTGCAACGGGGGCCATCTGGTGGCGTCCAGGCATTGGTAGCAAGCAAACGTAGCAGCATGCTCTCCCATTTCCAGGAAACCGTGAAAACGTAGAAATAAGGTTGCACACCCTAAACACTGCATTTTCGAATGTTGATCATGATTTACTACCTGCAAAAGTTGTGGTAACTTGAAGTGTTTCAGCAGCTTTTGCTGTGTGGCGTTTCTCCAGGCCATCTCTTCCTGTCACAAACCAAAATCAGAACTACTTCTGTCCTGTAGTTCATTCAAAATCAAGTAAGGGTCTAACCCCTGAGCTTTCTTTTTTTTTGTATTTTAACACTCAGTAGAGGTGACAAACCTGGGATGATTCTGGATGCAGTACAACCTTCGCATTTGCTGGGATGAGTTTCTTCAGTGCCTTGATGCTGTTTGATCTTGATGTGGGGATACTTTAGGAATAAGTTTTCAGGATAATGAAGATGTTCAGAACTTGTTTTCTACCAGCATGCATTTCCTTAAGCTGTAGTGATGTGGAAAACAGAGTTCATTCTTTAGAATTTTTAAAAGTTTAATAAAGGATAAAAGGACAAACAATCCGGCACTGGGGTGCTTTTGGCAAATGGCCAAATTGTCCCCCAGAGCTCTGGTTTGTGTCATGGTTATCTTATCGCTTGGATAATTCAATCAGCAGAAAAGGGGGCATAACATGATTTGTTTGGTTACACAGAGGTATTTTAACACTCAGCACTTAGCTAAGGCCTATAATATCATATATTCACCACACTACTATGTCAATAAGCTATGCAGTACATAGTTAAACTGGTAAAATACATTATACAACAAACAGCTAAATAAATGTATATATGATATTACATCTAAATACTTAGAATCAAGGCAAAAACTAATGTATAAATGTGAAAGCCAATATCATATTGTAGTCCTTGTTTTAGCAGTGAGAACTACGAACTGTTAGTGTCAAATTTAACAGTGTTTCACTCAAACTCTTCCATGTGCAACTTGCCCTGAACAAAACCAAGAAAAGCAGTGCGATAGATTGGCATTTTAAAAAAAAATAGAAAAAAAAAAAAAAAGTAGAAAACACTTAGAGAAGTTAAGGCTGCTCGAGGCTGCTGGGAGTTTTTTCTCCTGGCCAGTAACTGATCATTTCTGAGAACTGACAGTAGTTTTGACCATTGAAAAGTGAGATCAACCTATGAACACCACCTTTTAAAACCTAAACCCGGGAATTTCTCTCTCTCTTTGGTTCCCGGCTGTAAGATGTAACAGAGCTCCGGCTCAACCTCCCACCCCGCCCCGCCCCCGCCCCAGGCCGGACAAGGCTGCGCGGGGAGCAGGGCTGGCCGGAGTTCTGCGGGTCCCGGGGGGGGATGGAGACTGTGAAATGACAGGAGCCCTTTTCCAGAGGGGCTGAACTCCTTGCAGGGCTCGCTGAGCCTTGTCCAGCGGGGCTGCCAGGCCGGTCCCTGGCTCGGCTGCAGTTTTTGCTGTGACTGAATTCACCAGAGACTGCCGAGTAAGGA